TCTGCAGGGGTCTATGAAACAACCCAGCACTTCAATGACATCAAAGAACACCTTCATGTAGTAAAGAGGGACATAGAGCATTTAGTGCAACGCAACACGGTAATTTATGTCCTGGGAGTGTAAAGTGTGAGTGCAACACAGCTTCCTTTGGCTGTTAGTGAAAAGCTCGGATGAGCCAGCATGTAATTTAGGGAGCAATTAATCCTTCATTAAGCTGCTTCGCTAAAACTATGCTGCCTTGACCTAACTGCATGATCTGCGTCTCGATGAGAAGTTTTGCACAAAGAGCATGATTTTTAGTCTAATTTCCTGTGGAAACAAGGTCAAGCAATTAGGTTTTCTAGGTGCTTTTTTTTGTGTGTTTCTCCCGCTACTTAACAGCTCTAGACAGAGGAGATTCTGTGGTGCTTCTGCACACAAGGGAGAGCTTTAATCAGGGGAAAACTCAGGCAGGCTCTGCTTCAGGCTTCTTAATGCAAAAAAAAAAAAAAAAGACTCTGTTCACATTCAGCAGTACCTTAGTCTAGCCTAGGTAGCAATTAAGCTGAATTAGCTTATGATCTGTAGAAGGTCCTTGATTAATTTACCATATTTATGTATTCTTTCCCATGTAAACCTCAATTTAACATCAGGGAATTTGGCTGAGAAATGTAAAGGTGGAAGGGGAGAGTGAGATGAGGAATAAGATTATTTTTTCAGAGTACTGTTCTTTCTCTCCATCTTCTCTCATTCTTACATCACATTGCAAAGCCCTTGTTCTCTAAGTCTTTTGATGGGATGTCTTGTTTGCTCTTTTCTTGGTTTTTAGCCATCCAGTGACAAACAAAAGTGTCCAGAGTTGCCACCGTTTCCATCCTGCTTATCTACAATGCATTTCTTCCTATTTGTGGCAGTGCAAACTGTGCTATTCATTGGTTATGTAATGTACAGGTAAGTCTTGTGTGGCTTAAAGACAGCAGGGCAAATAGTTTTAGAACTGCTGACTGATAATGGCATTGGAATGGTACCATTGTGTTAATCTTAAAACAAGCAACCATTCAAATTGGAAGAGACCTTGGGAGGCCTCCAGTTAAATCTTATCCTCCAAACGGGGTCCACGCTGAATTCAGGTAGGGTCACCTGAGATTTAAACTGGTCAGGTCTTCACAACCTCTAAGAATGCAAAATTTACCACTGTTCCAGAACCCACTGGGAATGCTGAATTATCATAATGAAGTTTGGTTTATTCTACCCCCCTTCACCCGCCACGTATCAAGTGGGAACCTGACCTGGTTCACCCTGACTGTTGTGTCTTTCTCTTTTCTGAATGCAAGTTTTTTTCTTTTTTCTTTTTTTTTTTTTTTTTTTTTTTTCTTCTAATTAGGATGGTCTTTCTCTTCTCTTCCCCCTCCTTGTGATGTCATAATGTTGAAATTATGTTTGCATTGATGAAAAACACAACCTCCGTGCTTGGTAGTCTTTTTGCCATGAGCTGGAATGATGATTTCCAAGACAAACAAGGAGCTGGTCCCCTGCAGCTCTTTGTGAAACGTTTGTAATTCCAGCACCTGGATGTGTGTCCACAGCGTCTGTATCCACTAAGAAAATTAATGATCTGTGCCAGAGGGTAAAAGGAAATCCCACTTCAAGTCAATTCTTTCCCTGACATTTAGGCAAACCAGATACTGAGAGCTTCAGAAAATGTTCAAGGGTATTTTAAAAGTCAGTTTGCTTGTTCGTGTGGGGTTGTTTGTTTTTTTTTTCCTTTTGTGTCTGATGCAAAATTGGAAGTACAGTAATGCTGCCCGTATGTTTGTGAACAGGAAAAATATCTTCTGTTTTTGTGATATGACTTACATTTTCTTTAAGTCTCTATTAATGAGGAATGGAATCTTATAATCCTCAGATAAATGACAATTTAAAGCAGTTAGCTAGTTTCAAATGAAAAAGACTTGAATTATTTTCTGCCTTTTCTTTCAGGAGCCAACAAGAAGCAGCAGCCAAAAAGTTCTTTTGACGACCTGTTCCGTTTGTGTGTACATAACAGCAGTGTGTATGCACAGAAAATTCTACACTTCTGTAAATGAGGGAAATTTTAGTGTTGGATATACTTCAATATTATAAATTATTGAATTGTGTTAAATAAAATGAGTTCCCATTGAAAGTGTTGATGCTAAAAACAGGGAGCAAATGCTGGATGGGGTAAGACTGTGCACCCTGTCTGTGTTTTCAGCTGACTTTTTCATAAATACTGAAAGGCAAACTCCCAATTCCTCTGCTTTTGTTAAGATTCCAGAGGAGCTGAAACACCCAGGCTTGGTGTTTGTCCCGAGTGTGAATTGCAGATGGATGATTTGTGCAGAAAACTTGATGCTAACTGTCCTGACAGAGCAGTTTAAAAAAAAAAAAAAAAGAAAATAAAAAGAAGGTAAAAAAATCCCAGACCTCAAAGAACCGTTCTTCTGTGGGGTTTGGGGTTTTTTGGGCGGGTAAAAATTTATTATAAACGTTTCATTTGTTTACCACTTGGATTTAACAGTATAAGAATATTTTCGTTAATTCTTATTTAAACACTTTTTAATTTGTGGACACAAAGACAGACCTTTAAGACCCTGACTCTTGATACTTGATGTAAAAAAACAATTACACAGAACATGCAAAGAAAGGCTTCTCTGCCTGTTTTGCAGTTTGATTTTGGACAGTGAGAAAAAATGTGATAAAGTAGTTCCTTCAAGTACATTGTGGGGCTGATTTCTTTTTTCATGGTTTTAAGTCTGTCTGCAGTTTTTTGGGGAGATTTGTGGAACTTTCCCAACAAAGGTGATTGCTTTATCCATCTTCCAATCTGATTGTATCAAGGATATATTTAGTGTGTGAATTTGTCTTTACTTTTCTATAGCTCTCTTGTGTCTTTCATGTATCAAGTACAGATGATTTGGTTTAAGTCTTGACATGGTGAGTATTGTAAACTGCAGCTATTGATGAAATATTGATGAAATGTTAACTCATTTCTTCACAAACTTGCTTCAGACACGTTTGTTAATCTGTAGAACCAGTATTTTGTGTCAATTCCTGTTTGGATATCAAAAGCATAAGACTGAACATGCAATTTTGATACTGCTTATCAAGTGAACATTTGCTTCAGGAAAGAAAGAAAGAAAGCAGAGGGCCCAACTTAGGAATGTGAAATTAATTAATTTTGCCATGTTTACATATCTGTGGTAACTTTGTCCTTGAGTTGTATGTAGAATTAGAATAAGTATTTCTGTGGTTTCCTAAATTCTATAATATACACAAATGGATCAGGATATTTCACTTAGAACTGTTAATTTGTTTGTCTGAATCTGCAAGAATGATCTGTAATATGACTACTCCTATTGCATTTCTGCAGTTGGCTCCCTTGGAGTGCAACACGTGCTGCCAAATTCACTGTAATGAAGAACACTTCAGTATCGTGCCTGTCAGTTTGGAGAAATGAGAAATCTATGCAATATGCTTTGTTACTTTAAGTGCAGTGTCCAAAAAGTGAATGTCTGTGCTACACTAAGAAAACGACACTGGCTACACACCAGTTAACACATCTGCAGTATGGAGGATATTCCAAGTGGTATAGATTCATTTCTAAATTTGAGCAGATTTTGCTGTACTAATGAGAGAAACTACTGCCTCAGGATAATCAGTGAATAAACAACTTTTCAGATAAAGCAGAATAACCCATTGGAATTTATCTCTTCAGTTCTTTCAACACCAGCAAGTATTTCCAGGTGCCTTGAGTCTAAGCTATTACAACCCGGACTCTTGTAGTGAAACTTAATCTATTTTCTTAAATGGTTCTGAAATTGTACAGCGGTGTTTCCTTTCAGTTGCAGGCCTTCTTGCATCAGTGCAACATCCAAACAGAACTCCTTTCACGGCAGGCTTTGCAAAACCCCTCATGCAGAAAGTATTTTGATACAAATCTGGCAGAAGGAGGAGCAGTTCTGATGCGTCCATTGGAATGAGCCTGGATTTTTGTTCCTGTGAATTTACCCGCCCATTCCTTTGATTTAAAGGTGGAGCAGCCCATACCTCTCTTTGTTTGGTTAGAAAGGGGGTGATGTCTAGAAGGAAACTTGAAGCCTACAGTTTTCTCTTCAGGAGGAGGCTGCTGGATCAGACACGTCTCCCACACGCAACGCGAAAACTTCTGAGCTAGGGAACAGAAGGTCTCATATGGAACACCAGAAAACTGGTAACTTTGCTTCGTGATTCATTTCACAGCTGTCTCCCCCTGGAGCTTCCATAACTCACTGCATCAAAAGAAAACTCCCAGATGCCCGGCTCGAAGTTTGTCCTGTCTGTTCCTGAAGTGATAGTAACAAATTAGGATTCTAAGAATGTTTTTGAGTCAATGTAGCCTCCTGCTAGGTGTCTTTGAGCAGTGACAATGTGTTTGACTCTTATCCAGGAAGATTTCACAGCCAGGAGGAAAAGACACGGAATGCAGTTGGGCAGTGTTAGGGAGAACAAGTTATATTGGAGTTGTGGATAAGAAGTGCAAATATTTGGCAATGACAAGATAATAGGCTTGTACCGGTGGGGGTTTATTCAACAATGGTCACCCCTGAATCTTTCACAAGTCAAATGCACAGTACGGTTTCTAAATGACCTGCTTTTCGCTTTGTAAATTAATTGCTCTGGTTTGTAACTTCTGTGGGAAGGAAATCTGACCTTTCTCAATGAGCAGTGATGACTGTAACAGCAAAAAATGTCAACTTTTAAAAAAAATGTTTTAAATTCAAACAGCTGACAGTTTCATATTTTTTTCTGACTGATGTAAATTGATACTTGGAGTTCAGAGATAACCTTGTTTGAATAAAGGTGCATATTTTTAGTAAGCCTTTCTCTTTTCATTTGGTACATGTCCATGAAATCTAGCAAGTGTATTTAAAGCATTCTTTCCTCTCGGTTCAGAGTCAGAACTCGTACAGATCTGAGTTTAGTTCTACCTAACACTGGGGAGTAATGGCATTTTGAGTCTGAATTCCCTCGCTTTTCCCCCGCCAGGAGCAAGTTTTTGAGCAAGTGGAGGACAGGAATCTTGAATTAAATCTATTCTAGCTGACAAAACCCTAAAATACTTCTTTCTAATGGTCCAGCTGCTAGAAAAGGCAAAATCCTCTCGATAGAGGGATGAAGCAGGGGACAGAGTCCTGGTTCTTTCAAGAACACCTAAGTATTTTTGCATTATGTGACTGATAGGAGCACAGAATCTAGAAAAGATTGGGAGTTTGGGTGGCATTTTTGGGCTGGCCTCCCTCTGGAATTTGCCTGTTTTGAGACTGAATTCTGTGCTGGGGTTAGAGATCTGTGTGTTCCTTGGGTGTGGAACACAGGCTTTTGTGTATCACCCACTTTCGTCAGATGAAACAGGAACAGAGTCTTTAATTTTGATTTCACTTCAGCTAGAAGGAAAAGACCTGGATTTAAAGCAGAGGAAGTGACAACATGAGTACTTAATTAGCAGCTGTTTTGTATGTTTTCATGAAGTCTGATTCCTGTCATCAGCAAAAAGCAGCAAGTTTCTAAACTGCAACAGAGCACCTGCCTTGAACAGAGTTCCTGTGGGGTGAGTTGTGTCTTCTGTCACCAGCCTCTGCTGTGTTTCCCAGCAGCTTCAGTGCCAATAGGCCCAGTAACTTTTAAAGCCCTTTTTGTTATCTTTGATCTCAAAATTAACATGGGAAAGCCTTTTGCTGATTGTAAGGATGAGAGCTGGAGGGCAAGACCTCTTAGCAGTCCCTCCCCAAGCCAGTCCTCGCCTTTCTCTGTCCTGTGAAGGAATCACTTCTGGGCACAAAATTATGTTAGAAACATTTCTAGAGGGATCAAAGCCTACAGAAAAGTCAGGGAAGCTTCTTTTCAGTAAGGACCAACAGCACAAAGCTTAGCAGGTACCACTTTCCATACACTTGGAGAAAACCCTTGAGACCAAACACTGGAAAAATCAGTGTTTGCAGTTTCAGCTAGAAGAATTTTAAAGATGATGTAGTTGTTACTTGGAATTCATTATTTGAGTGATAGTTTCAAAAAGAAAGAGTTTCTTGTTTAGTCACTAATAATCCAGGATTTCAGAATGTCCTGTGTGGTTTTTTCCTTGTTGATTTGGTTTGGGTTTTTTTTGTTTTGGTTTGGTGTTGGGGGATTTTTTGTGGATTTTTTTGTGGTGTTTTGTTTTTGGTGTTTTTTGGTTTTTTGGGGTTTTGTTGGTTTGGTTTTTTTTGTTTGTTTGTTTTTTTTAAATAGTAATAGGTCTGCTTTAATTAGAAAGGCTGTAATATAGATTAAGGCATTAGGCAAACTGGAATCCTCCCATCTCTCAGTTCTCACTGAAATTATGAGAGTGCTGGGAGAACCATTTAGATAATCAAAATTCCGGAATGTTGCATTAAGGCATGTGCAGTCAGTGCAGTAGGATAAATGCTCAAAACCCAAACTCATGAACTTGGAAAACCTAGCAGGTGATTTTCTTTTTCAAAATAGTCTATAACCTAGGTAGCAGATCCTGGAAATCTTCACCTGAGTAGAGCTGGTGAGGCTAATGATGTGACCAAAGGTTAGAAAGAGAAGGACCAGCAGAAACAATCTAGACCCAAAAGGTATCCGTACTTTTTTCTGGCACGCAGACTCAGATTTATTCATCCTTTATCAGCAGTTAGGATGACAAACAGCAGGTGTTTTATGCAGCATCAAAGCAGGGTTCTAGATGGAGACAGCCTGGGGAAGAGCTGACAGGAGCTCAAAAGAAAACACTAGGAAGATCTGACTTGCTTTCTTTGGGGTTACTTTCTTGAAATAAAGTAATCATCACAGTGATGCCTCATTCATCTGCAAGATAAACCAACCACATGAAGAGGGGCTGAAAAAAACCGCACAAAATATTTCTGTCCAGTGGGATAAAATATTCATGGATAAAAAGAATAAGGGGTTTTGCTTAAGGAAGAATTCAAGTTTTCAAATCTCATATCTGAGGGTTTTCTACTCAGTAGCCTGAATTTTGCTATTGGCTACTGAGTCAAGCAGGTTCTAAATTCAGATCCAGGGAATGTTGTGATCTCTGAGAAAGTGAGAGCAAACTTCAAGACTGAAGATGTTAAAATGCTATTGCTCTCTACAACTGATTTTTGTGTGTGTGTGTGTGGTATACAATTAGCTTAAAGTATTAATGGAAAAAGTAGGTAGTTGCATCTAACGATTTTTTTGGAGTAATCTGAACCATCTGCCTCTATATATTAAGGAGTTCTTTCTTTAATCCAGATTATGGCTGACAAACTGGTTTTGGCATTCACGTTTCACTAGCACTGTGCCCTTGAAGAGCTGATGTGGCTGTAGAAACTCTCTCGCTTGCAACTGTTGTGTTTGAAAACATTTTTTGTTTGGCTTTCTTGTAGTTGTTTTCTTATAGCTCCTTTCTTTTTTCTTTTTTCTTTTTTTTTTTTTTTCTTTTTGAGAAGATGGCCTTTCTAATGAAAAGTATGTTGAGCAACCAGGTAAAGAATTTGGGACTTGGAGGAGGAGGGGAAGAAAGCAAAGAAGAAAGCACTCCTTCTGATCCAGCAGCAGCTGCAGGAATGACCAGAGAGGAGTATGAGGAATATCAAAAGCAAATGGTTGAGGAGAAGTGAGTACCTGCTCCCTTATTATGAGTATGGGGCTGATTCTTGGTGACTTTGTGCAAATAAAAATAGCCCAAGAAGAAGGGAAACATGCTGCTCTTCACTATTTTTTTTTAAAAAGCAGATGAATCTTTGCTAGAAAGACTTTCCAAAATAAAAGTTCCCCAACTGGAAATGGTAAAATATTACATTCTCTCTTCCTGCCCCCCCTCCCCATCTTGCAACTCTCTCCTATGCTTTCCTGCTGTCTCCATAGCTTGATATGCTGGACTCATTCCTAGGTGATGTTACTTTATCTAGAAAAATTTTCCAAGATGTTTGTAGTGCAGGATTTAATTCTATAATGAGTATGATTTGTTCTAGAACTCCATGTGAAGTACACTTTCAATATGTAATATTTCATTGTCCACATTTACTATGGCAGACCTGAAAAAGTACCGAGTGCTCATTTATCTTGAGCAAAGGTTTAAGATGTTTTTGGGGTTTTTTTTTTAATCTACAAAATAAAGCAGAACTTTAAAATCAATTAAGTCTCAATTTTGTCTGTAAAGACAATCTTTACCACTTGCTGTGTTTATAAAAACAAGTAAAATGGAAGATTTGGCGTGTGTAGGAGTTCCAACCATGCATAATTATAAATAAAACTATTGACTTTTAAATCTCAAATGCATCTGTTCCTCTAATGGTCAATTACATAATGGTTGTGTAAATCCTTCTTGTAAGATGATTATAGGTGCCAGGCTAATGACTGATGGAATTTGAGGCATCCAGGTCTGTATTTAGCATCAGACATTTCAATCACGAAGACCTGAAGAGGTCTCATTTGGTCTGGCAAAAAAGCACAGAATGTTTTGCTCCGCCTTTTGTCAAGTGATATCTAAAAGAGAAATGACCACCTGCTGGCAGGAAGGTGCTTTATGGAGACCGAGAAGGAGTACAGGATTCCTGGGATAGGGAAATGCCTGGGACAAGAATTACTTCTATACTGTTTTCAAGTGGGGCGTGTGTCCTTTCCCTGCTGAACTGTACTGAGGAAGCAGGGCAGGAGTACCCCTACAGGACAGTTAGAAAGTCTAAGAGAAAAGATCACCCCTGGGTGAGATGCGGGGCTGTGTCAGAAATCTCTGCCATGGGCAGAGCATGGTCCTGTTTCAGGCTCCATGGATTTTGCCCAGTGTTCAGCTGTGCAGGAGTGGGGACCAGGAAAGTAAATATGCCTCGCTGAACTTGTGCTCAGGCAGTTTGGAACCCATCAACAACCAGGCTTTGGTTACTTCTCAGGTTTGTTTGTGGGGAGGAGAGAAATCCAAACACTCATTTTAGAAGCAAAGGAAAAGTAATATTACATTTTGGAAGTATCTTCTACGTGCCAAAATACCTATACTGAAAAAAGATCAATTTTGCAATTGAACTTCCATGAAAATTCTACAGGGGAAAAAATAAATTAAAGGGAGGGGGGGGTGAAAGATGAGTGTCATCAATGTTCCCAAAAATCTTTGAGGAGACACATTTTGCAGATAAATGCATATGTAATCTAAAAAAAAAAAAAAAAAAGGTGCAGAGCAGTTCTTAAATCTAATGAAAGCATTTTATAAAATCACAGATGAAGTCAGTGCTCTTCCATACAGGGAAGCTTCAGAATTCATTGCTCTTATGAAACAAGTAATGCACAAAGAAAGAACAGGAAAATTCACAGGTGACAAGCACAGCAAGTGCGTCCTCCTGGCATCACTTTATTGGTATTGCTCCTTTTTTGCCTTTGGACAAGTTACTTATCTTGGGGAATAACTCCCATGTGTAGCTTTTTGCAGCCAACCAACTGGTTTAGTGCAAAAGATTGGTTTTATTAGCATCTTGAAGAAATATTTTTTCTGATTTCCAGGATGGAAAGAGATGCAGCATTTGCACAGAAAAAAGCAGAGCGAGCTGTTCTGAGGGTTCACCTGAGAGAAAAGTACAGACTGCCCAAGGTAAGCCTGTAGCTCATGAGCTCATCTAGCCCAGAGGCCAAATTTCAACCAATTTTAAACTGCCCATTCCTTTTCCTTTAGTGATCTTGGCACTGTCAAATATTTCCAGGGGAAAAAAAAAAAAACAACAAAATATTGAAGCAAAAGCTTCAAGCAACTTATTTAAAATAATTATTGTGTTATTTTGTAGGCTTCTGCATGGGCAGCAGAGAGGTAATACAGGACAGAGCTCTCTTTCCAGGGGTTTGGATCACACATTTGCTCTGACCTGTCACTACTGGGAAGATGTTGGTGTATTTCATTTATGCCCCTCAAGGATACGTGGTCCTTAGCAATTTGAGAGTTTACTTGTATTACTGACCTGCCAGCTATGAGTCATTACCACTCCTTTTCTGACCAGTACTTTCCCATGGTTTTTGATTAATTAAAATGGAGGAAGGTAAAGAATCTATCTCCTGTAAATTTAGCTGCTAAAACATGTCGTGCTTAATCCAAACAGTCACATTTAGGGACTCATCATCAACAGAAAGAGATCAGCACCTGCGGCCTCATCTAGGCAAACTTTGAGATAAGCATTCAGGGTGGAGCTGGGTCACCTCCCAGGGGCTGTGTCTCCTGCAGAGGGAAGCCAGGCAGCATCTGAACTCAGCTAAGATGCATTCCACCCCTAAGAGCCTGGTTCCTCTGGTGCACTAGCTGGACAACATACCCTGAGGGCGAGTTTAATTACAGAAAGATTAATTATGCAAAAAAAAAAAAAATTAAGTCCAAGATTTTAAGTGATTTATTGGATTGGAGGCCTAAGTCTCTAAACACCAGCATTTTAATTAGCAGCTGAGGAGTAAAATATCATTAGGCTTTACTTTCCTTTTGGAGGCATAGGCTGAGACAGCTCCTGAACAGCATTCACCCAGCACCTTGCCAGAGCCTTCAGCCCCAAGAGGGGCTGCTTTGGAAAGCTACAGGATACTTGAATGTCCAGGTCTCAACTAAACATCAGTGGAGCTGGGTGTCTCTGGTTTTCAAATTCTCCCACTTGTAGTGCTTTTTACAGCTGGAGGTGGTGTCCAGGTCACCAGTCCCCCTTGGCTGAGCACCTCATAGACACACAAGTATGCAGTGGTGATCTGACCCATCTCCAGTAGGATCTTGTGCTCTCTGAGGCCATATTGCAATAAGAACAATAAAAGATTTGTCTCCAAGGTAGGAGAGTAGCTCTAAGCCAGTAAACAATACTGCAGGATATGTTTTCCTGCATTTGTTTCTCTCTATATAGCATTTCTTGGTTTTCATCAGCCCTTATGAAAACATGTTATAGCAGGACGAGACTGAAACTACTACATGCATGCTAATGTGTCCCTGGAAAAAAAATCAGTGCTGTAATACAACATTCTGGCAAAACATGCTCTCAGGCTTGTGATAATGCATGAAATATTTTGAAAACTGAAAGTAATTTCAGGTAGCCTAGTATAGTCTAGAAACACTGAATATTACCAATATCAATCACTAGCAAGCATTTTAAGTAAAAACATGAAATTCAGGACTAAGCAGGGCCCCCCTTTGCCACATAAAGTCTAAAGCTCCATGCTATCTGGGCCAGATTTATAAGAGAAAGTAGACCCTTAATGAACCTAATCCTATTAACAGAGTTGTCAACTTAGGTTTGTCATCAGAAAGATGTTTTTAGCCATGAGACATTTGATCTATGGACAACTTTTTCATCTTTGGCATATTCAGTGCATCACATCAATACAAAACATTTTCAAATATTATATAAATACAGACATTAATATTTTAATAATAATATTTTTTTCAAAAACTCACCAAACTCTCTTATCCACTTGCTGCCCTTTTCCTGAACTGGGAGTCAGCAATCAATTAATTTCTGCAAGGTCTGAGCACAGGGGCATGATTTGATGGTGAGCTGTGGAAAACGGAGTCCCAATGCAGACGTCAGAAGGGAGCAGTCCCCACTGCTCTGCACTGCTCACCAGCCCTGCGCTCCAAGCTGCGATCTCTGCATTCTCTGAGGGTGCTTCCGGGGAGGAAGGCTGGTGGTACTAACATTTGACTCCTTGTACCTACTTGTGAGGTACTTGCAGCCCTTCAGTGGCAAAAGGACAGTGCTGCTGCTGTGTTGCTAATTGAAGTCCCGCCTGCAGGTCAAGGCAAGGTGAACTCTGATTTTGTATTTTACTGGTGCATTATAGGCGATGAATCACAGGATAAGGTCTGGAGTCAGCTACCTAAGGATCTCTGCACATTAGCATAGGTAAATATTAAGACAGTATAAGTTAGTCATAAGGAAAGCAGTACATCACACAGGGATGCTGGAAAAGAGTTTGGTTCCCTTGTGGATTAGTCTGTGAGCTTTGATCTTTTTTGTTTACAAGTAGACTTCATACAAGCAGTTGAACAAGCATTTGGTCTTCTTTGCTCCTTAAGCTGCACAGAAGACTTTACCATCATCGTTCAGAGGACTGAAAGTGCCATTTAACAAGCAGTACCAAACTTTGATTGCTCTTCTCCCCTTGTGGAGGGCGTTGTGTTCCTTTAAGGGAGCTTGACAAAACTTCTTCACGAAAGAAGCTCTCTCCCTGGGGGACATTGCCTTTCCTGCCCAGCGGCCATGGAGCTGTCTAATGTTAAACTGTGTCCTTTACCTGTGGGAGCCAGAGAAGGAATTCCCCCTGTGATATCAGATGGTGACCATCTCCTGCTTGCACTATCTTAATCCTTCTCCCTCCCTCATTTATCTTTTTTCTCATTTCTGTACACACTTCATGCTACAAAATAAAGTTGGTATGCTTGAACTGGACCCGTGCACCTTGATTTGGGCAGAGGACTTTACTGTCAATTTGTAACAGAGTACATATTTAGACAGTTTTCTGCTCATACCCGTGTATCGTTGTATATGTAAAGAACTCTATTGCATCTATAGCAAAATAGATCTGGGACTCACTACATCAGAGGCACAATAATCAGGGTCAAAAAATATTGCCATGCACTCAGACTCTATGGCCCATGCTGTTGAATTGTCAGAATAATGTCTGCCCCAGTTTTGGCCTGGGCACTCTCCCCAGCAATCCCCACAGCCAGTTTGGGAGTTAGGACAGGCATTCCCAATCGGCAGTAGATGGGACCACCCTGTTTGGTAGGGCACAGAGTTCAAGAGCATCCCAGTGGGTTTTTCCAGGCCAGCTGGCCTTGGGGCAAGAGACCAGTTACAGGCATATTTAATTTAATAAAATAGATGTTGCTTCTGTGTTCACTTTTCTATTTCAAATCAAAGTAAACAAGAATCAAATGCTCAAATTCTAGAAGGAACTGAAGAGGCCATATGTGCCTCATGTGCTTCTTTGCTTCTTGTTAAGCAACCACACCCTGTTGAAGCTCATTTTAGGTCTATTAAAGCTGAATGTCAAGTGGGTAGAGGCAGGTAGCTTGGGCAGAATTGTAGTGTTTTAGACTATATCTCAATATATTCTTTTTTGGCCAGAGAACCCTTTGAAGCCCCAAACTGTTGCATTTCACATCCCAGACTTCCATAGGATAGTGGGCTTTGGTGCAAAAACATGCCAGACAATTGTTCGCATTGCCAAAGATGTGAATCACTACAGTAGAATGCAGTGATGATGCCTTAAATGAGAAATCATTTTAAAGGAAAAAGCATGTGTGATTGTCTGATTAGGGGCACTTTTTCAGTAATTAACATTTTTTTATTATCCTCTACTACTACTGACCGAAGAGGATTTTGAAAGGGCTAACTCCTCTGATAGCCATCAGTTGCTGAATAAAAGCTTAAAATAATTTTTCCTACACAATCAGTAAAAAAATACCTCTGCTGTTCAGGAGATTGTTTCTAGCTCCCACAGATCTGACTCCAGCAACCCTTACTAAAAAGGTGAAGAGATGTCTTCACCCATTTTTTCCACATAGCAGTAACAATCGTGCTAGAACTCCCTACAGTTTCACAGGAGATATGGGGGGAAATCAGATGAAAGGGAAGTACAGTCATTGCAAACATAAAGTGTGGAAATATGGAACCCAAATAGTGGTTATGCAGCTGCCCACCCCCAGCCTGCCTGTCCTTGCTAAGGCCTGCAACAACACAGACATTTCTCATATATGTTCTTGCATTCATTTGTCCTTCCATTCATGCAAAACCCATACCCCTCACTCTAAAAAACACCTCCTGCTGACAGCATTGCTGCTTATTCAGATCAGGCCTTTGCTGCTGTCATGGTCAATTTTGGAGATGTAATGAGGCATTAATGCTTATCTTTGATGTGTGAACTGTGTCGAAATATCCTGTTCTTCTGAGCTCTGGATCCATCAGAATCCACCAGAAAATGTGAACAAAATCACCATTGTTTGAAAAATTGACATAATCCCACTGATGGTGTGTTGCAGTGGGCAGGCAGGACACAAGTATGTGTAGTGCTTACTGCATCTCAGCCCTTTTAATTGCTTAACCAGTTTCTTCTCCTGTCTCCTTTTACTTTCTCAGACTCACAACCAACCTCCCTCCTCACTTTTGTTGTCCAAGTCCTCCCATTACCCCACTTAGCAGCATTGCAACACTGATTATGTGCCAGGCAGCCCCTGCTCTTCATCGCAACTCAGAGAGGCCAACCAAAGACCTAGATGGAGTTTAAACATGGTTTGGGAAGATGAGGGACCCTTTTTCCAGTGATTCATTAATCTTTCTTCCAGAAGGCTTCAGTTTAGTGCTGATACCTAAAAATCCCACCCAGCCACCCCGCCGCACCTAACAATGGAATAAGGAAATGGTGCCACAGCTCTTCTAAAGCTCCTGTTTCATTGACCAGAAGCTGACAGGCACAGCACAACAGCTGACAGGCTCGATAGTGTCCTGCAGCATGGTTTTGGGGGCTACAAATAACTTGGAATGGAATTGCTGCCCCATCAGCATGGCAAAGATTTCTAAAATGGCAAGTGACACTGAGGCCTTCAGTTTTGACAGTGCTGAAGCCCTTCAAAGAAATATAATTGACATGGCCTGAAAAATCTTAGAACTTTCATGGAGGTTGATTGAGACCCTGAATTTATAAGTTGCACACAAAAAAATTGACTGAAAAATCTGTGCATGTTTCGGTTCTCCCTAAAAACCTAAAAAAAATCAAAACGAGGCACACTGGTAGATCCTGGAGAGAGGAGAAATATTTTCATCTGCTGGTTTTGTCTCCTGCTTTAGAGTGAATTGGATGAGAATCAAATACAGATGGCTGGAGATGATGTGGGATTGCCAGAAGACCTTCAGAAGATGGTGGCAGAAGATCAGGAGGAGGAAGAAGACAAGGACTCTATCCTGGGCCAGCTGCAGAACATCCAGAATATGGACATGGATGCCATCAAAGAAAAGGCACAGGCTACCTTCACTGAGATGAAACAGGCAGCTGAGCAGAAATGTTCCGTGATGTAGAAGAGCCACCACTGCCCAAAGGCTGTAACTTCAGTCTTGTGTTGCTGGGGATGCAGAGGGAGAGCACGCAGAGGGAATCACTTAGCTCTATAGCATTCAGTGTAAATATAGAAAAGTGATGAAAGAGAGACTTAAAACCCTGAGGGGAGAGTAAAATTTTACCTGCTGGGACTGCCTAGAAGGAAGTTAGCATTGATCCTCAGTTTTGAACATAACTTTTTCCCCCATGGAAAAAAATGGCTTTATAAAAGTTAATATTGGGAAAAAAAAAATGTGCCTTTTTCCATTTTTCCCACATGAATGAAATGCTATTAAATGTGTATGTTTGAACAAAATTGTACTTCTGATACATCACATAGAGGTAACCGCTCATTTAATCCTGCTTTCAGAAATAAACACATATTTCTTATAAGAACATGTCTGTTTCAAGCATCTTGAGGCAAACACAGTGTTCAGATACTGACATCTGCTGCAAAACCTTGATTTTTAAAATCGTCTCTGTATTAAGTGTAGCAAAAGGCAAAAAGCATGTAATTCAACAGCTTGGGTCAAAACTGTTGTCATATGCACTGAGTGGGGACTTGCAGGAAAGTAAGGCTTGGTGGCTCTCAGTGAGCCCTGCTCTGGAGCAATGCAGGATTCTCCAGTCTGCTTTCATTTCCCAGCCTCTCAAAGACACTTCAAACACCAAGGGAAAGCAATGACTCCCTGCTTGTCTGTTCTGTGTGCCAAATTCTAGGGCTGGGGGTACCAGCACAAGGCTAAAACCAGCTTCCCACGCTCATTCTGAGAGTTGTCTCCATCAAAGGCTAAACATGGAAGGTATGCCAGGGTGGGGCACCTAAACCTGAGGAAAGGCACAGCTATCACTATTGTTCTATCTGCCTGTGTCTATGGGACATGCAGGCTGCTACTCCCAAGGAATTCTATAAAATGAATGGCTTTGTAAGTTCTCTTAGGAGCTAGCCTGGAAATTAAATTTGGAAATGAATACATTAGCACCTTCCTACAGGTTTATAAGTCTCTTTCTCTCTCTCTCTCTTTCTGTCCCCAACCAATCAAGTAAAAATAATAATTTTAAATTAACAAATGCACTAAGTATGATTTATCTTCTTTCTTTCTCTTTTCCTTCTTTCCTTGCTTGCTTCCCTCCTTTTCTCTTTTTTTTTCTCTCCCCTCCCCTAGCTTGAAAACCTGTTATCTATTTTCTTCCCCATTGTAGCATTAAGAAAATACTCCTTTTTTCTCACTCATTTCGTTCTTACCTAGGAAACACAGAATTTACAAGTTCTGACTTTCCTTGCTCTTTCCACAGGATGTCCTAGTGCATTAAATGGCTCTCATCCAACACGTAATTTCTTTAGTGCACAAAACTTATCTTCAGCAGGTCCCTCAAGCATCAGAGCTATTTTGCCTAAAACCACCGAGACTTCTGATCCGATTTCTTCCTCTTGGGATTCTGCTCTCCCATGGCACCACAAAATCTAATTATCTATGTGGAAAGACAAGTGAGCTCTTTTAGGAGGTCTTTACATAAAGTAAATAAAATAGTCACCATCTCAGTTCAACCAGCCTGAGGTTTGTGAAGCTCAATGCATTTCCCTCTGCATTGGTATAAATCTGGTTGGTGTCTCCACACTGTTGTGTTGCTTTACAGACTGAATTGTCCTATCTATGAAACACCAAAATACACAAGCCTAAGGGTTTTGACCTTTGAATTAAAATGTGCTTGGAACTTCCCAAAAATCTTACTGAAAGCATCTGGTGCTTTAAAGGATCTAATTAAATTTGTCAGCAGATATAGGATCAGCGTTTTCACACTTTAAAGGGTCAGAGAAGAAAGTACAGTCAGAATCACCAAACAAACGATTAATGAGACTCCAAAAAAAGTGTCAGGGCTGGCAGAGACAAGCAGGACTGGGAGGTAGCTTGGGACTGGCACAGGATGGGAGCCCAGCCCCACTGAAGTGCTGCTGGTAGAGGAGTGAACTGCCTTAGGCACCACTGTAAGACCAGAGCTCCCACATTTAGTCTGGAGTGGCAGAGCCAGGGCAGGGGGAGGCAAATCTGCGTTGTGCTCAGCAGGAGCCTGATCTTCAGCTCGCTGGAGGTGGCTGCCTGCTCCTGGCAGCACCTGCAGGGCTCATCCCTCCAGCACCGGCACGGCTGTTCCCATCTCCAGCTGCTAGCCACAGGCCTGGGGAGGCACGTGAGTAGGAGGTGGGAAGGGCACCCCAGGCCCATGCAGCTCTCAAGGTGCTTAGCCCTGGGGACAGGCCACAGGGCAGCCACTGCATGTGCTGGTAGGTGAGTCTGGGAACGTTTGTGTCCATATCTGTGCACAAACGCACACGTAGGCGCGTGCATGCGGCTATGCACGTGTGAGAACGGACAGGGACATGTCTGTGTGTCCATGTGTCTTTGTCAGGAGCAGATTAAAGGGTTAGCTCACATGGCAGCTACTGCTGCACCGACCCTACCTGGGATTTGGGTTCTTAGAGTTAATAGGATCGCTGGAGCTCAAGACTGTCATCCCATCAAGATAAATGTCTCTAGTGCCCACTCTTAAGCAATCTGAATTCAATTAGGCTAATTGGAAAACAAGTAAAGAAGGATTGCATTAATATAGCCTTATAGCATGAACCTCCCCTCCCTCCCTATGAGCATGGCAAGTCCAAATGCCAGCGCTCTTGCACCCAGTCCATGGTGCTCCCACCAGAAAGGGCTGCCTGCTTCCCAGAGCCTATTCCACACTCACAACCTGGACAGACAGCAGGACAACAAGATCTCTGTGCAACTCCTTGATGCCAGACAGGACTCTGGGAGGGAGGTGGAGAAAACACAGCTGATTCTCCTGGACAGATCAAGAAAAGTCTCAGCAGAAAAACAACGAAAGTGTGAGCAATACAAGTGACAGGAGGAGACAGCAGCTTCCTCATGCATTATGCTTTCAAGAAGGTTCTGAAACTGCACCCTTAGGAATTTTTGGGAAGGAAAAATTCCTTTTTTGGGGTTGTTTTTAACAATCTCCTGGATGATACAGAGCATGCAAACCGCAGGAGGATACAGGTTTGCTCTAGGTGAATATTTCCTCCTTTTCCTTGCTTCCCTCTTGTTGATTTGCAGTCTGACTGTGAAAGCCCCATTTGTCTTTCAGGGAGGTCCCCCCTGCTGCACATCTTTGGTCTGGAGAGTGATGTCTCTCCTGCAGTGTGACTTCAGCTTCAAATCTATGCCCTGCAAGGCAGTAATTATTTCACCTGGATATAAATAAAAGGCAGGAGAAAAGGAAGGAGGAACCTGTGGCATTTTATGATGCTGATTTCATTGTGTGAAACCACATCCCATGTATATGTCTCAACATTGACTACAGGATGAAAACTATTTCCCTTTAGTCTTCACTATACATGTACAGGAAGGAGGTACAGCATACAGCTGCACTTTACAGATGGGCCATCTTGAGAACTTCTGTTACTTTCTGAGCATAACTTCAGCAGAAATTTTAATAATGCATTGCAAAAGAAAAATAAAAAAGGTATGGAATGCGGGTATGCCTTGGAAAGGCAAGTAACAAACCCTACCTCGCGAGAGAACGAATACTCTCAAACTTGATTCTGGTTGCCCCCACAAGTTTCCAAAGGTCAGTGGTCTTTGCAAAGCTGGGATGTACCACAGGATCAGTTTCTGACGCTTCATACTAATACGATACAAATCCCAGAGGGCTGCAAGCGATTCAACTGACAGCCAGGACATCAGACCCAAAGGAAAAAGTTCAGTTACCATTCTTTGCCTATATAAACCCTCTGTGCAATCAGAGGAACCATTGGACTTCTTCCCTCCCTGGAGCACTGTAATGCCTCATGCATGTCACACAGTCTGTGCCTGAAGCATGGCAAGAGAGAAAAGACAGATCTAGAGCTGGAAGAGTCGGAGTTCTCTCTGCTCTGCTACAAGGTTATGGGTTTTGTTTTTCAGGTACTTTTTCAAATTGGGATCAAAGGAGTGGCTTCCTCTTTCAATAATTCCACTCGCCTGCAAGAAGGATGTTGCAGTGAAAAATGTAGCTCCACATGGAAAACACAAGTGGAATATTCTAATGCTGAGGAAAGAGGAGCCTTCTCTGCCAGGGAGGAAGGTCTCTTGTGTCCTGTGTGGGACTCAAGCACCGTACTCCAGGGCTAGAAGACTTTTTTTTCTGCCTTCACATTGTGATCAACAGCAAAAAAATCGAGTATTGACTCTGTAAATGACCACTTTGACAGGTACCCCAAAAGCAGCATCTGTGCCAGGATCTAATGCCCTTTATGGCACTGACTAAAGGGTTTTTGCTCCTTCATCTCACATTCCTATCTTTCTCAACTACAACAAGCAAAACTGATTCCTAATTTTGCCCAGGACTTCTGGAGGGACAGGTGTGTTTTGTGCTGATTTTGAGTGCTGTAAACCCCCAGCTTCAAATTAGAAGAAATTAGGGACATTGCACAGTTCATTCATCCTCACTAATAGAGTTCCTGGGAAACACACATGTAGATTAAAGGAACACAATGGCCCCTGGCTGATTGCTTTGAGTACCCTCCAATGTCCCTACAATGCTATTGACTGGCTTTTTATAGGGTCCACAAAAGCCACACTAACCTTTTCTTGTCTCTTCTGTTGGCCTCTTCCCTCTGTGCAAACGGATGTCTGAGTTCTTTTGGCCTCAAACCAACCCCCAAGCAGTCAGTGAAGGCAAACCTCCCCCGAAGCTAGGAAAATCTGGGCACTCCTAAAAGAAATCTACTTTGGGACACAAGAACATAAACCTGCAAAAAGGTGTGGACACTGGCAGAAGCAAGCACTGCCAATCTTTGAAGTGATTCCTCTGAAAAAAAATCTGTTATGGAGCCTGTTGGGGCAGAAGGGGAATAAAAAGATGCAGATTTATTGAGAGAGGTCATACTTATTAGACTAGCTAATATATCTGGAAGAACAAGGAGTAGCAGTGGTGTTTTTCTTTCACATACACTCTCCTCAGGCTTCAAATGTAAGCATCTTCAAAGCTAAGTGTAGACTGAAAACCACTCTGGATGTTACTGGGTTTGTCACATAAACAAGCTGGAACAAAAGGTAGCTGGTGCCTCAGAGGAACTGGGAAATGCTAGTACGAAAATGACAGAAAGACAAAAGCAGGGAAAAGATCGATGCAGGAGACGTGATGCTGTTACCGGTTGGTCCTGTGGTAGTTCCACGTCTTCCACCAAGCCAAGTACAAAGAGAAATGTGTGGGATTTGGCTCCCTGCCTCACCTCCAAAAACATTCTCTGCATCCCCCATGAAGCTATGCCCTGTCTGCTACCCCGCCAGACCCACTCGCGCCGTGGAGCACAGGGTCACCGAATCAGCTCTTCTCACAGGCTCTGTGAGAAGCGGCATACTTGAAAATACTCTGTGGCATAACTGAAAACTTCTTCGCAAATATTGCTTAGAGCTTCCTCGGGTTTGTGAAGTCTGAAATGCTGAGCCCACCTCCTGCGTCTATCCTGCCCAGAAGCACCTGGTCTGTGAAATGCCTTTGGAGGCAGCCGGGCGCAGGGCGAGTGTCCCGCAGCGCACCAGCGCAGCGGCGTTAACCCCAGTGCCCGTGGGTCGGGCCGGGGCCGCGGACCGTCCCGCAGGGCAGCTTCCGAGCGGCCGCCGTGAAACCGACGCACCTACAAACCGTCCGGGCGGGATCTGGGCTGAGGCCGTCGGACACGAGAAATGCGGCGAGGCTCTGAGAGCCGCCGAACAGCGCGGGGCCGTGCCAGGGACCCGCTGTCCTCCGGCCCGGCACCTCCGGGCTCCCGCCCCTTCCCGTGCCGTTCGCTGAGTCCCCTTTACCGCGCCCCCGGCAGCGGCTGCCGCGGCTCTCGCCGTCCCGGCTCTGTCCCCCCGTGCCCGGCGCGCTTCTCGCCGCCCGTCCCACCGCGGTTTCAGACAGCGCTGCCCCTGCCCCGGGTCTCCGACGGCGGCGCTCGGCCCGGGCCGGCCCCCGGCTGCAGCGGAGGCCGCCCCGCTCCGCCTCGGGGGCCCCGGATGGCATCGCCCGGCGCCGCTTGGGACCGGGGCCGGGTCCGGAGCCGGCGGGGAGGGGCGGGGCGGCCGGCGGGGGCCGAGGGATGCCCTGCCTCCCCCTCCATGCCGAAGAGATGCGGGGGCCTCGCCTTCCCTCTCGCCTACCGCCCCCTGGCACTCCTCCCCCGCCCCAAGGAGGCCAGCCCGCCCGGCGACACCGTGCCAGACTTGCCCGCGCCGCCCTGAGGCCGGGTAGGACCGCAGCGGCGCGGCGGAGCCCCGGGCCGGCCGCCTCATGCACCCGCCCGGCGCCCTGCCCGCCATGGCCGAGGGCGCCTTCTCGCTGGCCGCCCCGGCGGCGCGGAGCCCCGGGGGAAACCCGTCGAGGCTTCACAGCATCGAGGCTATCCTGGGGTTCACCAAAGAAGATGGGCTGCTGGGCGCCTTCCCGCCCGACGGCAGCGCCAAGGAGGCGGACCGGCGGGGGCCCCGGCATTGCCTGCCCAAGATGCCCGGAGAGCAGCCGCCGGCCGAGCCCCAGGGCCGCGCTGAGCGCTTCCAAGGTGAGCGCTGTGGATGAACGCCGGGTGCCGGGGGGCGGACGGGTGGGCGCCGCTCCCCAACGCCCCCTGGCAAGCCCCGCGGGGAGATCCCGCCGGTGACCCCCCTGTCTTCCCCTCGCAGAGCCGTACGGTCCCGGCAGCGCCAGCCCCGAGTTGCCCGCTGGCAGCAGCGGCGAGGGGAAGCCGTCGGAAGAGGAACAGCCCAAGAAGAAACACCGGCGAAACCGCACCACCTTCACCACGTACCAGCTTCACGAGTTGGAGCGTGCCTTTGAGAAATCCCACTACCCCGACGTGTACAGCCGCGAGGAGCTGGCCATGAAGGTCAATCTGCCCGAAGTCCGCGTCCAGGTAACGCCCGGCCCGGCCCCCCGCGACGGCCCGGCCCCGACGGCCCCCGGCGCCGGGAAGCCACACACGGCCCGGCCCGACGCGCCTCGGCGCAGCCCCGTGGTCCCGGCGAGCGGAGCAGCCCCGGTGCGGTGCGCGGGCCCGTGACCGCAGCACGGCTCCGGCCGCACTCGGGGCCCCGCTGGAGCGCTGCACACGGCTGCCGCACAGCCGTGCGCCGGCCCGGCCGGCGGGACAGCGCGGGGCTCGGGCAGACCTGCGTCCGGCAGCCGCGTCGTCGGTGCTGCTGCCCTTTGAGTGTCCCAGCCCGGGGCTGCGGAATCTGCTGTGTGCCAGGGCAGTGGCGGGTGGATGGGCGGGCCAGCTCTACTGCGGGTCTGCTTTCCACCGAGCCGGGGCTGTGGGTTGCGAAGGAACACCCGAGCCCCCCAGATTCCCTTTTGCCCCAGGTTGGCAAAGCGTGTTTCCCTCACTTCGTTTTGCGTGCACCTCTGCAGCCAGAGGCGAACCTCTTTCCACTGCCTGGGGCCTGGCTGATACAGCTCTGCTTGCAGGTTTGGTTTCAGAACAGAAGGGCTAAGTGGAGGCGGCAGGAGAAACTGGAGGTGACCTCCATGAAGCTGCAGGACTCGCCCATCCTCTCATTCAACCGCCCACCGCAGGCAGCACCCATGGGTGCTCTGAGCAGCAGCCTGCCCCTGGAGACGTGGCTCAGCCCGCCGGTGCCCAGCAGCACGGCCCTGCAGACCCTGCCTGGCTTCGTGGCCTCGCCGCAGAGCCTGCCTGGCAGCTACACGCCACCGCCCTTCCTGAACTCTCCGGCAGTGACCCACGCACTGCAGCCCCTGGGGGCCATGGGGCCACCGCCACCTTATCAGTGTGGGGCCACCTTTGTGGACAAGTTCCCTTTGGATGAGGCAGACCCACGCAACACCAGCATTGCTGCCCTGCGGCTGAAGGCCAAGGAGCACATCCAGTCCATTGGCAAGCCCTGGCAGACAATCTGAACTCCCTCTCTGCACCTGGGAGAAAGCCATGGGGAAGGCACATCCCAGAACGCCTGAGGGACACCCTTACCCTGCTGTGGCTGCCACGGATGGATGGCCAGGCACAGGAGGGCTGTCCCTTACACCCGCCTTTCCCCTACGCCTTGACTTGCTTTTGTATTTTGTGGTACTTTTAATTCCCTTTTCCACAACTCCTGAAGAGTTAGGGGCCTGATCATAGCTTAGGAAAAACAATCTCTTTTGCTCTCCCTCCTTGGCTGGATGCTTTAGTTGCAATAAAAGCTACCGTAGGGCAAAGAGCTATGTAAGGTGGCTGGGAGCTCAGGACTGCTGTACCTGGGGAGGGTGTTCTACTTTTACACCATTAAATGGCACCATCTGCATGGAGGCTGTGTATCATGTTTCTGAACCCAAATGGGCACCTTGGGCTGACCCTCTCCTCCATGGGATGTACAGAGGGGTGGGAGATGCCTGGCTGTGTGCTCTTCTCTGTTCTCCATCAGCAGAACCCTGCCCAAGCTGGCTGTGGCACTGAGGCCTGCATCTCCATGATGGAGAGTGTGCCCAGATGGGAGTGGGCACAGCGGGGCTGGAACCCTTGCAGTCCTTGGGCCAGGCACACGACTCCCACAGTTGCCCTTGTGGAGCAGTGCCAGGCTCAGGCAGGCTCTGCAGGCCAGAGTCAGTGACAGTCCCTGCCTCTGCAAAGAAGGGGAACGGCAGGAACCCCCAGGGCTCCTGCCCCCTGCAGCCCAGCTGCCCACAGGGAGAGACAGACAGTCTCTGGTTGGACACTGACACCTGGCTGGGGCCTGGCAGGCTCATCCTGCCCACTCTGGCTGCCCAGGATAGCCCCTGGAGGTTGGCACAGAGCTGGGCCATGCCCGCTCCCCTGCCCACCCAGTGCCCATCACCAGGCTGCCTAAACTAAAACTGCGGCATCTTTATTTTTCATTATCTCCGTTACTGCCTGTAATGGGGCTGAGAAGCTATAATGAAACACCCCTTCTCCTCTGCTGGGCATGGGGTGCTCTACACACTCGGGAGTTTGTGGCAATTAATGTTTCTCATTAGGGAAGAGAGAAGGATGCACAAGTGCCCTCATTGTGTCCTGGGGATGATTCAATGCAGACTGGGAGACCTCTCCTTTCACCATTTCCCACTCGTTGTGGCCAGACAAAGGCTGGCGTCTAATTATATTTTCACAATCTGTGCGTATCTTTTAAGAGTCCAGTCAGAAACAAGTATGTCAGCCCTGTTCAGCTTCACTTCAGAGAGCTTTTTAACCTCAGACAGCAGTTTCTAAACATCCCTTCATAGCTTTCTCCACAGCAACCCCCATCTATTGTATGGAGAGCTTCTTTTACAGATAATAGGAATCCCTCTTGTTTTCAAACGCCTTTTCCTCTGTCCCCAGCCTCCCTGCAGATCCAACCTGCCTCGCGGGACCAGAGCACACACTGTTCAGGACCCCCAGCTTCCCTCTCCTGAGCTGTGCTGGTCCAGGGCATGCAGGGAAGCCAAGTGGTCCCCCCTGAATTTGAGGGGAATGAAGTCCTGCTGGGGGAGACTGTCCTGCTGGGCTCCGGACTTGACAGTTCTACTGTGTGTGCATTTTTGGCAGTGCTCACCCTTCCCAGCACACATCTCTTTCCTTCCTCGGCAGAAAGAGGAAGTGCTGCCAGGAAAAGAACTGCCATCGCTGTCAGGACCAGGGAGGTACTTTGCTAACTTCTAGTAAGGACACTTGAAGGAGAAGAAAAATCATATTGCTCCAGTTTTTAGGTCTTATTCTAGTGGTACTTTCACAGGCAAGCTTTGCTTGCATCACCAGTTGCAAGAAGGCATGGCATTTTTGGTGACTGCAAGAGAAGGATTTCTCTTGGTGTGCTTGAGAAGCCAGGTTTGTGTCAGCAAGAGACACACACTAATGAGTGACTGCACAGTCTCCACACTCCTCCTTCTCAGGGTAGGAACAATCTCACGTGTCATTACTGGACTGTAGTCCAGCTGTGGCTCTGAAGCTGAAAACCCTCGTGCAGGCAAGCACATTAAATTGCTGCCCTAAAGTTCTCACCTGTGCTTATTGCTCATGGTTAATAAGCAACTCCCCAAGATTTCAATAGTGCTTTCCCATATTTTGGCATTACTACCCTCCCTTTCTCCTACCTACAGTTCTTCTGCATCCTGTAAAGCCATTGGCAAGAAGCCCTCTAATTCCTGATCAGCTGTCACCAGTGCTGATGCTTGGTTACTTGGGATAGTCAAAGAGTGGCAGTAGATAAAACCACAACAACAGGGCAGCAGAAGTAGCAGCAGGAGATACCTGCTCACTTTTAATAAGGTCCTGATCCAGCACCTGCAAACAAATAAAGATTATGGCAAGATATGGTGGTTGTTCTTTTATTGGCATATTAAACAAGTGTTTGTTATACCTTCTACAGGTGAACCCTGTAAATGGATCGACTTTGTACAGTCATGTCCTTCAAGGAAAGCTGCTAGTTTATTGCTAAAAATGAATATTTTACCAGCTACACAGAAGTGGGCAAATAAAGAGACAGAGGGATATGCAAACGTGTCTTTCTTCTAGCCTGTCTAGTTTTCTGTGTTCCTACACTTTCTTTCAAATTGTCCCATTCCATTTTAAAAGCTCATTTGTTCATTTTGTTGTAAATATCTTCTTCTCCTTAATTGGGTGCTGAGTCTAATAATCCTGCCTCGGCTTGTTAACTGTACAATACCAGTCAGAGTTAATGACCCATTAGAGATTAATTCCTTAAACAGCATCTAATTGCTCACTGTAAAACCCTTTCTTAAAACTGGATTAAATCATCTAGATCCTTAACCACTTCTTTACTCTAACTTTGCTAAGGCTATTAGCATGGCCTTCTGAGTGGTCTGTTTCTTCTTTTGCTTAAACTGTATTAGCAACATAGTATTTTTAGTGTCCATACTTGACTTCTTTTCAACACCTGAAGTTACAAGAAAGAATAATACAGAAAAAGACTGCCAGAGAATGAGTAATTATGAGGAAAATGCAATGATGGAATTTGTTCATTCAGAGTGTATTCTGATCTCCCTTCCTTCTCTCTATGCCTGTTCAAAATCGTCTCAAAATTCAAGAAAACTAGCGGATACCTGAGCTCTTTAATTTTGTCTTGAGGTTCAGCTTGTTGGCTTCCCGGTGGAGCAGGACTGTCTCTGTGTAAAAGAGGGACCCTCAGTCCCTGCTGGATGGTTCGGAAGCTGTCATTCCCTCCAGAGCAGCAGTGTGTGCCACTGCCATGGCAGCCCCTGTGACATGAAAACACGCGTTGCTCAGCCACAGTTTGAATTTCTGTTACTAGCTGCTGGGGTTGAAGGCAATACTGTTCCCTTCCTCTGCGCAGAAAGTTGAACGATCTTGTTTCCATCTGCCCTGGCTACATCTACAGCCATTTCAATTATGGACATTCAGTTTCTTACTATTACAACATCTCAAGTAACTGCTCAAAGCTCCTCGTTACATCTTTCCTCATCTCTAAGGATGTACTATGAACAGGCGTTAATTCAAGGGGGTTCCCTTCAGCTACGGTGTTTCAGCTTCTCTCTTCTATGCAGTCAGCCTTTGTCGCTGCTATAAACCTTGGGATTTCCTTCAGTAGTTTGTCAGCCACGGAGTACCCACCCGCAAAGTGCTAGCATTGGAGAAAATAATGGAAAAAAAACCAAAACAAAACAAAGCAAAAAACCCCAACCAAACAATGAAACAAAAAACCCCCAAACAAACAAAAAAACCCCAAAACCCCAAAACAAAAAAATACCCCCGCACAAACAACAACAGCAAAAAAAAACAAAAACAAAAAAAAAAAAAAAAAAAAAACCCAAACAATCAAAACAACAACAACAAAAAGTGAACCCAAAATCTCTTTGGACCAGGACACTGATACTACCAGTGTCTCTAGTAGAATTAATACCATGTCTCCTCTCTGAGCATCTCTGTGCTCTGCCAAGACAGTATGTTAAAACTGGCTGACATTTGGCAGTCATTCCTGTGTCATATGACACTTCTGCCCCTTAAAGATCGGGATTGCGGAGCCGGGCAGTGTGGTGCGACTGAGACACGGCAAACAGCCGCAGCCACGGGGCTCACCGGGCACCGGAGCGCACCGGGACACCCCTCACGGCGGGGGCTCAGCCGGTGCCGGGCTTACCGGAGCTCTCCCCTCACGGCGGGGCTCAGCCCGTCTGCCCCGGGCCCGCGGAGCGGCCGGAGCGGGCCGGGCCCGCGGGCACAGCGGCATCCCCGGGCGCACACGGGGCACCGAGGCTCCCGGCCGAGCGGCTGGAAGTACAACACACGTGCTGTCCCGGGGGAGGCAGTGGCCCCTGCTACTGGCTTTTACACAGAGAATTTCACTGATTAACTCAAATAAAAGCATAAACTCCGCCTTTTTCTTGTTACTATTTATTGCGAATGTTGCAATGTCATGTAGTTTCAAACTAAGAGATGAAATGATTCGATAGGTAAGTAATATAATTAATTGGAAGACCCTTCCGTGACAATTTTTTATATATATATCAAAGCCATTCAAATGAGAAAATGCAACCTTGAAAATGAAATAGAGGATTTAGTCCTTGCTGAACCATACAAGAATATGTGTATTTAAGTACTTTACACAAAGGAATTCTTGTGTACAGAAAAGTGACCGTGTTGATTATCTGATACAATCAAGTGCTTGTGAAATATAGTCTCTTACAGAAAGTATTTGATTTCTTCATGATTTAGTGATCTTCTTTCAGCTTGGAGTGCTCTCTTTCATATTCACAACTTGAAGCAGATAGTCCATCATCTAATAAAAAGAAAAATATATTATTTATAGTCCAGTCCTGAATAAAGTAATTTGCTGAGATAATAAACTTTCTATAAGTTAATAAACCTAATAGATAACTGCTGTGTGCATTCACATAACAAACATATTCCTAATAATCTTTCCGAAACAGACCCCATTTGTCTTGGTTAGTGTAATAACCAACTGCCAAAGTAGGAGTAAAGTCATTCTCCCAAATAATTCTGTGTGCCATCTCATTTATATCCTGTCTCATTAGTGTGAAAAAGCCAACTAATAGAAACAATTTAAAGTTTCTTTTCCAACTTATTTTTGCACTTAGTCCAACTTGCAGGAGAGATTTGCCATCCCTTTTAACTACATTAACTGTAATTTATTCACAGAATAAAGAGCAGGCAAGGTATTAACTGAAAATAAAATAACACAGGTACACCATCCTAAGGCAAACCCCAAGAAGTATTGGGCTCACCTCTTCAATTATTTGACTGTATGCGAGCTACAGCTATTTCCCTCCTCTGAGTGAGTCTTTTAGAAATAATTCTTTTCTTCTTAAGAAATGTGCAGCCCAGTGTGAGCATCAGTGGTGATGCACTGGATGATTTGGGCTAATAAGAGAGACCCTGAACTGAGTTGCTTCAGGCACCTATCTGTATTTACTTCTAGCTTTGGCGCTTCCTGATCTTAAATTTAAAATTCAAGTTTTAAATTAAATCAGCTCTATTTGAAAGCATCCATGGAACAAAGTTCTTGGAGTCTGTTTTTCCCAGCACAGGCAGTCTTTGCAGTGTGTGCAGCAGGTGGAGCCCCTCCTGTGGCTGGCATCTCCATCAGTGCATGGGAATGCAGCCCTCGGTGGGCATGTGCTCCTGGGACAGCTGTTCCAGAAGCTGGTAGCTGGGTTCATTGTTTACCTCCTTTTGGTCACATTTAGTATGTCAGTCCAACAGGCCACTGCACAGGAAACAGTAACCTGCTACAAACCTGCTGTCTGGTTCCTCCTAGAAAAAGTTTCTGTTCCAAACTCACACTAAATATGCTTGGAAAAGTATTTTATGCCAAGGACAAATTTTCTGGGTGCGCTGTGCATCATCCTCAGCTTCCTGTACCTGGTAATCTTCTCCTGTGCATGGACACCTTCCACAGCTGTGGTGCAGCAGCACCTTACCCCACGGTGCTGTCTAACCAAAGCCTGTGCACCTGAAACCCCTCACATCCTGACAAATCTACACAACCAACCCCCAAAGGCCAGTTATGCATTTGCATCACTATGCACATGAATGTCACATTCTGTATATCAGAGCTCCACCTTTATAAATAAGGCCTCTTTTGTTCAAAATAACTTTAAAATGAAAAATAATTCTCACTATTGAAATGTTTAGGAAACTATCGCAGCCCTCAAAAGAGTAAAGCACATTCCTTTTGATCTTCATATTTTCTTCATCTAGAAGGAAGATCTCAGAAGTACCCTAAATTTTAGGTGCTTTCTTGAAGCCAAGGGGAAAACAGGACATCATATCCTGTCTAGGCTGTGTATCATCAGATGTTAGTGTCCAACAGCAGGAAAGTACAGCTACAGCTCCTTTCATTAGATTTTACTTCAGAGTGGAGACAAAGAAACTGTTGAATGATGGACATCAAAGGTTCTATGGCCAAATGAGGTTCTGCAAGTTGTCTTCTATCTTAGTCACAGGAAAAACATGAGCTTTTTTTACTAATCCTTGCAGAAATCTGGATGGTTAAGGCAATAACCTCATTATTCCATAAGGATGTTCAGTGTCTGAGCACAGAAATGCGGATGTTAATTTACGGTGAAAGTACACACATATGGATATGATTCAACTTACCGGAGGCAACTTCCAGCCTTCCTAAGTAGGATTTATTGACAGATATTTTAGAAGTCAGAACATTTCCCTCTTTACATTAAATAATGGAATTTGTTCATTTAATTTGATTACAAAGCTGCACACTGCAGAACTGAAGATAGAATAAATAGTTTCTCTTTTAGATAGTATTAATAATCAGTTACTATGATGCATCACTATCATAAAGCCAAAAAGAAACCCATGGGCAGCATTCATATCACTGGTGTGAGAGACTTAAATCACAGCTTAATTTAAAGGGTGAATTTTTACCCAGATTCAAATAAAAGCCTAAGTATTTACTGATTTGATTGCACCAGGATTTCAGGAGGGAAACCAGGCTGAAGTTAGCCCAGGAATATTAATGACATCATATTGCAGTAGAATACGGGAAGGAAAAATTCTTCCCATTAATGTCTTTAAGGGGGCGTATTAATCTTTTTATTCCATTTCACTGTCACCTGAAAGAATTCTGAAGCTTTATCACCATGACTGTGCCTGAGATATTATAAGGAAAGGAATTTTCTTGTGGATCCTGTGATTTACATTAGACCCCAACTACTTTCTGTAAAACCTCCATTATCCTTCCCAGTGTATTTTATAGGATTTCCCAAAATAATAGGGATTAATCTGTTCCAAACCTTGTTGTCTTGTGCAACAGCACTAGGAAGAACATCAGCTTGAGGGATGAGGAGGGGCAGCTTATCAGTAGCCCCAGACTCCTTTAGCAAACCCAGGAATGACCACAGCAGTAGCCAGCACCATGGGCTGGAGAAAAGGCAAAGGAAACAGGGACAAAGCTGGCACCAGAGAAAATTCTGCAGCCCAAGGCTTTACTCAGCCCAAGGCAGAACATCCTGAATGGTGATGGAAGGGGGCGGTCAGTGTATTGTGGTTCCTCCTGCCCTCACACTTGTCTTTCACACCAGCTTGGCTTTGCTGGGCAATATGTGCTGCTCATTGATCACCTAAGCATAAAGAAAAGAAAAGAAAAGAAAAGAAAAGAAAAGAAAAGAAAAGAAAAGAAAAGAAAAGAAAAGAAAAGAAAAGAAAAGAAAAGAAAAGAAAAGAAAAAAAAATGCCCCAGCCAAGCAGCTTGAAGGGAGCCTAGGCACTAAAATCTACTGAATGCATGCCGTGTTTATACCCCTAGCAAATGAAGTAATCAAAAATACAGTCGGTGAGTGACAATCTGCAATCAAGAGCAGAATCTTACAGTACTGAATGTCTAATACATGTGATGTTTTCTGCTGCTTTTCTGGACAATCCACCAGCTGATATGCTACTGTAAACCAAAAACTGAAAACATGGAGTATATTTACAGGTTTTATCTTACTTACATGTTTCCAACTGCTATTGTCATCTGTCTCCCAGGTGTTCCTGGTATTCCAGGGGAGCCCTCCTTTTGAAAAGTGACCACTTTTATTTTCATTCCTTTCTAGCAGCCTTAGCAAATATTTTGAGATTTCTTCCCACTGCAGATACTCTTCCAGCTGCTTGATATTGTCAGGTAATGCTGAAAATGGTGTCTTGTTTTCTTCTTCAAAACCATAAGGAAAATCTCCAGTGCTTTTTTTCCCCATTAAATGTCCTGTAACAACAATTAAAGTAGCACAAAATGAACCAAAACAGGTAAAAATTTGATTGTTCAAACATCAGTGGGACTTTGCTACTGATGGGAAGGGAAGGGAAGGGAAGGGAAGGGAAGGGAAGGGAAGGGAGGATGAACCAGCAAAATTAGATTTTTATATTTGAAAAGTGAGTTATCCATTGTAGAATATTTCAAATGATCAACCAGTCCCACAAGGTGTTGTATACACAGAGGTTATTCTTAAGGGAAGGGAAGGGAAGGGAAGGGAAGGGAAGGGAAGGGAAGGGAAGGGAAGGGGGTAGATGATGTCGAGTTGTAGCATTTCTGGGAGTGAAGACTTTGTCAGTGTCACACAGTAGTATTAATTTCTTCTGTCTCTTGTGTTACATGGTCAGAGAAAACGTGGCTGAGAGAGGGGCAGCGATTACCAAGAGCTTTGTCTGGAGATAGAGAGAGGCTCTTGGTAAGATTTGCTGGAATTAAAGCGGACGGAGAAGCCGAGGTTTTAGACTTACCCTGCCTGGACACGGGACGCAGGAACCGAGCGTTCCAGTGCCTTTGTAGGAGTTAAAGCGCACTTACCCACAGCCCAGTGGCTGCCGCGGGGGTAGATCTTGGTGAGCGCGGGGGTCCCGCCGGGCTGCAGCGGCGCCGCTCCGCCCTGCGCTGCGGCCGCTCCGCGCTCCGCCACGGCTCCGCCACGGCCGCCGCCCCCCATTTATCCGGAGCCGGGCCCGAGCGGAGCCCGCGCCTGACGCCTGCTCACGGGGCCGCTCCGCCCGCGGGGCGAGCCGGGGCGGTGCCGGCCCGGGCTGCCCGTGCGGGGGGGCCGCTCTCCCTCTCGCTTCCCTCGGCAGCACGGGCGCGCCCCGCGAGCTCGGGCTGCCCTGCTCCGCCCGCCGGGGCCGCTGCCGAGGGAGCCCGGGAGCTGCAGGGGGAGCCGTCACCCCCATCCTGCGGGACCGCACCGCGCGGCTCCGGTTCGGCTGCACCTGGGGCAAAGGGGCTCGCTGTCCTTCGCTGGAACAGCAAGTCTGGTGTAAAGGGCTCCAGCATCTCCTAAATTTCCAGTCACAAGTAACAGTAAAGTGGATGCGCATTTACAGGGCTTTCTGCTTTCCCTGCGCAGGGACTCTCTCTGTAAACTTTGAAGCCCCTGAAGCACCTGGAACTGGCCAACTTTGTAGCAAATGGATGAAAAGAATTCCAGCCTGAAGAGGCAGTGCAGGGAAAAGACAGAGACAGTACATCCCTGGAAAGGCCCTGAAGTGGAACACTTGAAGTGGTTTCACTGGAGTGAAGGTGGGTGAGCAATGATGGGATAGAAGCCCTGATGTGCCCAGGAGAACACAGGGACAGGATGAAGCCACGTGTAATGCGATGATTTTGCCGTCTAGAGAACTATGGCAGGAGCTGGGATACACAGAGCAGAGCTGACTGTAAGGAACTTGCCAGCTCCTCCAGCTAGCCCCACATGACTGGAACTGAACTATCCCTACTACTGGAAACTCACACGGATGTGAATTAACATAATTTCCAGGCAAAATCTTGTACAATTCCTTTTGAAGTAAACCCTGTATCCTGCTGTATTGAGCCAAATTGTTCCCTTGTTTAGTCACAGTTTGTTTCATCTTCTTTCACTGATTAATGTGATTCATTCTTTTCTTTTGGTTATTAATTATGCATTCCTGCTTAATTCACAACAGTATTCTCAAGCCTCAAGTTGCACTGTGCAGCCCGCAGTGCAGCTACTGACATGTGCCTGTGCTGAGTGACAGTTGATCAAATAAAATATTGCCATCCAGAGAAACTTCTAATTGTTTGGAGCAATCAAGGCAGGAAATTGAAAAATTGAGGAAATTGTCCATTTTCAGAAAACAAAACCAAATCCCACCAAACATGAATTCTTACTCAGTTCCAAATCTCTTGTACTGGAAATACCATGCGGACAATTAAACCTTTCTCATATGTTGTATATGTACTGTGCCTTTATTATTTATTTAGTTGTTCATAAGGATTTATTCTAGTTCTTAATTGCTTACCCTTCAAAGGAAAAGAGTAACTTGATTATATAGAGAAATATTATTGTGGACCCCCCACAACAGAAAAGGAACCAGGTACAACCAAAGGGTGTTATGAACTATGAGTGACTCAACTCACTCAAGACAATTTTTCTCTTAAAGAAGAAGCCTGATAACACCAATCTGTGTTTAAACATCAAGAAACAGCTCACTCTTTTAAAAAATATCCCTCCCTTGTTCATATATCCCATGGCAAAGCAAAATGTTGCTGTGCTTCATGGCAGGAAAACATTCATGGTTTTTAAATGCTATTACCCTGATAACACTTTAATTCACTTCCTTTACATTTTCGACAAGCATCATTGTTCCATCAGCAATGCATATTAGATGGCTGTAAAAAGGGATAATATAAGAATGGTGTGCCTTTCATCGTTTCCTTTGTAGGGATCCTGGCGTTGCACGCAGCCAGGATGTATGTACAGAACAAACACTGGTGGAAGCCTATCTCCAACGTAATAACAGGCGTGATCACTGAGGAATACTCTGTAAATGTTGAAGATGCTGACTAGACTAAGCTCCAGCATTTCTAGCCCGCACTCAGGGCAGGTGTTCTGCAAATAACCTCACCATCGACTCAGTGCAGCAACAGCTCCCCGAAGAACTGAAGACATTTCTCAGAAAAGAGCTCCACAACTTTACAGAAGCTGAATAATATGAAATAATAACATTTATCTAGTAAGGCCCAGTGAAAGATAGTTGACACTGTTTGCGCTGCGCTTTGGGAAGCCCTGGACAACTGAAGCTTAAGCACAGTGATTGCTCACTGCACATTTAACTTGTGCCAGGCTGCTGCGGCAGCCACAAGTTTGGGTTTAGGATTCTTGTGGTGGAGGGGTTCAATAACTGGAGAATTCCAATGGGAAGCATTTATGCCTGTGGACCAGAACAGCCTGCAGGGACCATCCAGCCCAACAGCCTGAGCCCTTCCAGGCCGCCCAGAAGCTCAAGGGTGTTGCCCAAGCGCTCCTGGAATGCTGAGCTTGGGACATCCAGCCTCTCCCGAGGGAGGCTGCCCCAGGTCTGAGCACCCTCTCAGGATGGCAATGCTTCCTGACATTCACTCTGATCCCCCTGGCACGGCTCTGAGCCACTCCTGGGACTGGATCCCAGTGTCACATTGGCCAGCTGCAAAATGTCCAACTGCCCTCTCCAGGTCTGTGCTGGCTGTGCTCGCATTGGGTAGGTGGACAGCATAAATCTGGATTTCAGCAACACCAAGAGAAAGAAAAAAGTCTTATTCCACGTACACTGTCTCCAAAAAACACATTCTTTTTTCTTAACTGGGATGATACACTTCCAGGAAGACTGCATTAACGATCCCAACATTATTCTGCCATGCCATTTATTATATTCAATTTTATTTCTATATAATTTGACACAAAATAAGTAACTTTTATAATACAGTTGGACATGAAAACCGCTTAGTAGGACACAAAAGAAGTAATATTACTTAGAGAAATTCAGCAGTTGTCTGCTGAGCATGAGCTGTTACAACAGAAAAGGTGTCATTATTGTATAATAGAGTATTTTTGCAGAGGTAAGGGATTACAGAAGAAACAGAACTCCAAAGGAAAAAAGCATCATGCTGTTCCTTATCAAAGCTACAAAAACAAAGCCAGCAAGGAAAACAAGTTCTGCTTTGTTGAAAGTGCAACACTGACATTTGAAGATAAGAGAAAAATACCAAATTTCATAAAAGACAGTTATCAGGTAAGTTTTTAAACGAAAAATCAATTTTATGTTTAACACTATTCAGGTGTCATACGATAGGAGAGAATAATACATTCTCCAAACTGGCATAAGAGTTCTGGTTTCCCCGTCTTGGCAGTATCCCTGAAGTGTACCACTGTGCTATTCATTCAGTAATTTACAAGTGTTATTACAGCCCCAGAAAACCTTTTTGTTAGGTTAGTTTAAGAGCTAGAACACAAAAGGCAGATCATCAACAGCCTGGTCCCTAAAAACCAGGCCTCTAAAAATCAGGCCATCTGGGCTTTTTTCCTTACCCCGTGAAGGAGCAAATTTCAAATTCAAGGAAAAAAGCTCTGAGTCCCCACTGCTCAGTACCAAGTCGCAGCAGAACTCCCCTTCCTGGCTGTTTTTGGCAGCCACAACCAGCCAACTTAGGCATAAGTCTGCCTAAACTCCTAGAACTCACTGCCTGCTCAGAGATTCCGTGTCCTTCCAAGCACTGATCAAAACAGTATGTGGAGAAAAGAGGGCAGTGACAGATTAAAAATAACCCCCGAAACTAATAGGAGGGGAAAAGTGGGGTCAGATGCAGCAGCAGTCAGTCAAAGCCACTGCAGCACGGCAAGAGAGCCCTTGGCTGCTCCAGCACGACAGTCCTCCAAGCCAGAGCCAGGCCAGCCCAGAGCAGTCTGCAGAAGGTGGTAAATACATCACTTTGTAATTAGCCAGCAGCCAACAGCTTCACTCAGTAGGAGTTGTTTATTCCGACAAGACAAAAGCTTGCACAGTTTTGTAACTATACAGAAATGAAACCATCTGAAATACATCAGCTGTTCCCCCGGGGTATCTGCCCCTGTTCTGGTGTCTAGGATTCCCGCTTGAGCAGTACGTACGCTCCCATCACTGCCAGCAGAGCATACTGCAAAGAAACACAGAGCACAGCCTCGTTACAACTCCTCTCCACCGAGCCCTGAAAGCACAAACTGCTCCAGAGGTGCCCTCTCCAACATCACACTGCACAATTACACAGCTCTGGCCTACAAAGCTGCAGGAAGATTTAAAAGTGATCAAATTCATCATAACCAGGCATCACAACTGCATACACTTAACTAACAAAATTCTAATAAATTACATGTTTTCAACTCCTTACAAACAACAAATTCTGCTCCCCAACAGTCAGCAAGGAAAGCCAGCTCATCCTACGTTAGATACCAAACCACAGACACAAGTTATTAACATGTACGCTTAGAGGCAAGGTTCTTATTGTCTGTACTTGTTAGTTTAGCAACTCAAGTATTCACAATGTCAGCATACATACCTTAAATTTTGGGTAGTCATTCATTATTATAGTTACCATTCCTACATAGGGCAAAAACCTGTAATTGACAAAACAGGTGAATGTAAAATTGACCCTCAAATATTTCAAGGAAGTATTTGAATGTTACTCAGTCTGGAATATTTCAGTGTGATCCCACAATCTACAGCTAATGGGGATCTGAACAGGAAGTAAAATTCATTAGTTTTCCTTAATCAAAGTTATCTGAGAAAATCTGAAGAGATTTCAGCTCAGCTGAAGGAGAAGGAGACAAAGTCAAAAGCTCAAACCTTCCATAAAATTTCTGTGGAATGCCAAAACAATTTCCTAGAAATTCCCAGCAATTACAAGGAGAAGCTGGTTAATATTGCATTTTCAGGTGAACTATTTGTTAAATGCCCTTTTTTTCCCCCCACACTCCACATCAGTGTGAGGACTACAGGAAGCAACTTTTCCAGGTTTTCTTTTAAATTACAATTCTATTTGAAAAAATACATCAGATCTGGTTTGTATCAACATCAGAACCGATTTAAGAGCTAATTTTTCTCTTTAATTACAAAGTACATTTTGCTTTACTTACCCTCTTGCTCTTCCAACAACATCTTTCTTCTCTAACCAGTTCTGACCTTCTTTGTACAAGCCTCTATCATCAACTTCATTATTATCCCCTTTAGTCAGAAATTTGATGTTCCCATTTCCTCTAGAAGGCAATGAGGTGATAAACTAAATAGCACTTAATTTAAAAATCTCAATTAACATCTACAAAGCAAATGGGGATGAAAAGTGCTACAAGCTTAGATAACAATGTTTGCTTTCAGACCTGCTTATTGAACAACCACCATTAAATCATTAACATTACAGACTTTACTGACTTTATCTATCAACAGATACTAGCAAGAAACATTTTTTACAACACTCCTAGGTTGTCAGTTGATGTAAGCAATTACACAATGGACATGAAAGGGACATTGTCCATCCAGGCACTAAACTTCCTCAACAAATCCTGTGTGTTTTATCAGCATCTTCCACAGAACACAAATTCAAATAAACTTGTTAAGTTTACAGTCTTCAAATGAATTTTGATTAAGTACAGATATCAAGAAATGAGGAGTTCTCATAAAGACAAATTAGGTAATAAAAAAAATTAAATAGGCGATTCTTGGGAATTTTAAAAAAGCATGGAAGAACAGATGCCACTCAAGACATAAACACCTTCAGCTCACGGAGCAAATACATCAGTGCTTGCCACCTCCAGCCTGGCTTTCCACTGTGCAGAACTAGGAGCAGAGCCATGGTTTGGAAGAACTGTTTGGCAGGGCAGGCCTCTGCAATCAAGGCCAAACCAAGCCCTCTCCCTGCTGCTTTCAGCAAGACCTGTCATGGGCAGTGTGGCCAAGAGACACAGGAACAACAAGTCTCCTCTTTTATCCTGAATCAAATTTGGGAAGCTTCAGTTAGCAAAGCTCACACACTCTGTCAGGCTGCACCCTGATTCTGGATCTCCACCTTCCACCAAAAATTTGCTCTTACAACCAAAATCCCAACTGCACAAGCAGCAGCAGAGATGTGGACTCTGCTCCCACGCACATTCCTGCCGCCAAGATTCCTCCTGGGCACAGCTCTGCCTGCCCCAAGCCTGAGCAGCTCCGCTGAGGGCAAGGTCACAGACCCTCACCAAGTGTGACAGAACTGGGGACACAAGTGGATCACCACACCCTACAGCTGAGCTTTCTCTCACTGCTTAGCCTCACCTGCCTTTCCCACACACCAAACCACAACTAAACTGACACTGAAAGCCACGGGGAAGGAAAGGAGCTTTACAAACAAAAAACCACCGAGTTGCATTACTTTTCATGTACTTTGATAACTCTGTGAACTATTGGAATGTCTCTGCCTTCAACTTTAAAAACAACTATTTCACCAGCTCTGATTGGGTCATCATGGAAATTTGTTAGAAACAGCAGGTCTCCCCTGTGAAAAGCTGGCTCCATGCTGCCACTAGAAAAAACAAGAAAGAGAGAGTTTGTTGGCATAAATGAAAGAAGCTCCATGAAATCAAAGAACATTTCATTCGTACAGACAAACCCACAGTTCTAACAGAGATCTGCAGCTTCACCCATTCAGTTACACTGCTCAGACCTTTAACAGAACCCAAACCCCAGAAAGCAATCTGCAGGAGTTTACCCCGGAGGAAGGGCAGACTCCTGCAGAAGGAAGGTGGATTTTAAAAGGTCTCACACATTTACTGCTCCTACAAACCTCAGTGGGAACTGGGCCGTGGCTACTGACAGCGTGGCTTTTGTTGGAGCCCAAGCACAGCTTTGAGTCTTCCTTTAAATAGGTGACATTTCGAATTCCAACTGCATCCAAGGGGGAGGGGGAGCAGACAAAAGGCAAAACAATACCTAGCCTTGAAGCAGAAAGCCTTTCCCTTGACTCACCTGAGCACCACAACAATGGGGCTCTCGCTGCCAGTCACCACGATCAGCCCTTTCCAGATCATCAGGGCAGAAGACACAATCATAGCAAAATTTAAGACTTGGTAATATAGCTGTGTGAAACAAGAAAATCGGCTTTTAAAGGTCCTGTATTGTATTTAGAAGGACAATACAGAACTTTAACTCAAGTCCCCCCCAAATTCTAGGCTAAAATCCCATTCCAGTACAAGTCTGGTTGCCACGTCAGAATCCACCACACTGCAGCATAAAGCTGGAATCCCCTGTGTGCCTTAGTCTCCTGCGTGTCAGTGACAGACGCAAACACTCTGATAAAGGCTTCTAAAGCTGGGGAAGCGGCCTGGCGAACGATGAAAGCTGGTTCGGTGGCACGGCCCTGCCTCCCACCCCGCAGGGACGCGGGGAACGCCGGGCTACCAGCAGCGCCTGCCTTTCTACAGCGACTTCTGCTTAGACAGAGGAGCCGGAGAAGACGAGACTCGGCAAAAGCCTCATCATTTCCTGCTCCTGTCACACTGAAATTTCTTATCTGGAAAATCACTGATTTGACTCCTGCCCCCAGTGCTGCCGCTCCGCCAGCAGCGGATGCGCTTTAACCACACTCCTTCTCTGCTGGCTCCTTTCGTCGGCAGCACACGGGGACAGTGCTGGGAAGGCCCCTGCAAGCCGGCGTGTGCAATCCGCCGCTCCCGGCGCGGCCGAGCCCGCTACCTGCCGCTTGTTCATG